GTTTCAAGTTCAAAATGATCTCTCCAACTCGGAAAACCATACAGAGAAAAAAATTTTACAACGTTATCTTTCACACAGATAACTTTGGCCAACCACTTACGTACCCAGCTTTGCAACTTTTTAAATTGTTACGTTACTATGAAATAGGTATGATTTTTTTCCTCCTAGTCTTGTATAATAATGAGCAATGCTAGAAACTGCATCTTCATCGTCTTGAACCGTCTAGAAGAGAAATTCTCGAAGACTTCTATAACAAACGACTGCGTTGTGTCCGACTATATAATTATCAAATATTTAGAATTTGAACGTAATAGTCTAGTTATAAAAGATGAACTTGGTGCAGATGTGGCAGTATGATTACATGATAATAATTTTGATTTTAGTTATACTGTCGCATAGATAGGGGGATGAAAACGGTTCAAATGGTTCAAGAAGATCAAGTTACAGAAGCTGATGTCTATCTCTACGATTGTATTGAAAAATAACCTTTGCAGAATGTCTGCTTCTTCTTTTTTCTTTTACTCCATATTTTTCATTTACTCTTTAAACACTAACTACTAACGGTCGCTAGTATGTTAGCTCAAGTGAGAGGAACAACTGTTAGTTTTTCAATTCGCATTTTCTCCTTCTCGTTGGAATTATGATTTGCTCCGTAATTTACAAAAAGGAGCGATTGGCCAATTTTTAATAAATGCAAAACCCGATGCAAATGATCCCTTTGTTTTACATTTGCTTTACATTTGTTGATTTTTTTTTCCTTTTTTTTTTCTTTAGCGAAACTACTATGCTACAATATGTACAATTCATAAAGCAATGTACCTGATTGTTCTTGTAAATGTTTTTCTTTTCTTTTCTCACATCATTTCTTCTTCTATTTGTCTCTGTATTAAAATAGATATAGAAATAGTTAATTGAATTTTGTGCATCGAAGGTAATCATGGACGGTACACTTTGAATGTAAAATCTAAATTAAACGAGAGAGAAAAAAAGAGAATGCACGTTTTCTGATTTATAAAACGAAACAAATGAGTGAATCGGTTTTTCTACTTTTTTTTTTTTTTTTTTACTTTAAATATATGCGGCAAAGTAAATTCACTGTCCAGCAATGAATTTACAATTACTATTGTTTGCAACGTTGCCTTTACAAGACTCGGTTTCTTAAACGAATGAAATAAAATTTACATTTGCAAGAACAGTCACACATCGTACACCAATTAATATATACCTATTACATAAACATATGTAACGAATGGCAGTGCATGTGACACAGATCAATTTGTCACTAATCATCTTTCTTACACACCGAGATTTGCAAATCTGATCGAGCAGCAATTTAATCCTTTGCGGATGGGACTGCATCTGATGCGCGAGCATATCACCTGGACGCGAGTGTTTAGCGGAAAGCTGATATACGCATGAAGATTTCTAACATAACACATA